TTTAATAAATACGCATAGGTATTTAATTTATTATAGCTATCATTGGGTATTATTGATTGATTTATTTTGTTATTTGCTGAAAATGTGTGTTATGTTTTTATCATGATAATTTCAATACTATCAGTGAAAAGATACTGCTTTGAAAAATAAATTTGAAAAACTTTTTAAGAAAACCAAAACTTTTCCTTAATATTTTTACGAATTATAAATTTTTACCAAATTTATTGTAATAATTTTACGTGAATTCATTTGAAGTAAAGTTTACTGAGAATTAACATAAATTGGAAAATTTTGTTTTCAGTCAGCTTATTTAACAAAAAATGGGAAAACGTCGACGTGATGAGAAAGATTTCCATTTCGATTATTATTTCTTCTTACGACTTGCAGATATTTCAAAAATTCTCTTCCCACGCATCGAGTGGGCCGTACTGTTCACGCTTGCTACGCTTTTTTTTGCTATTGCCAGTAAGCTGCTTTTAAAAAGCAAAATTAAATTTAAATTTCGAAAACAGTAAATGAATAATTGGTTACCCTCCTCTCATTAGTATCACTGTGATTTAGCGAACGAAAAAAATTAACAATTCTTACAACAATTCCTTAATGACTATTCTAAATATAAGTAAGTTATCAAAGAGTTAATTAGCGAAATTAAGAGAGATAATCAAAAAGTTACTACTGTAAAATGTTTAGAATAATTAATGGAGGATAGCAATTTCGGCAATATAATTACAGGTGAAGTGTTAACATTCTTGACGGGTATGATACCGGGCCGGATATACCAGGCATTAGCCGATAAAAGTAAATCCGAGTTCTGGCATGTTTTTCTCATTGGCTCAATTGTATATACCGGCAAATGTGTGGTAAAAATATTTGTTAAAAGAACACTTTTCGTTTTTTTTTTTCAAACATTAATTTTTTTTTCAAAAAAAGAAATTAGTTAAAACAACATTTTTCGTTTTTTTTTTCAAAAATTAAAATTTTAATAGTTTTGTCCTTTTTTCTTAACATACTTGAAGATTTTGTTATTTAACTTCCAAAAAAATTTAATTGTTCAAATCATTTCAATTTCACCCTAAATTTAATATATTACCTTCTAATAACATGAAATAATCATTTCTCGCATAGTATTGTTTTAAACCAAAAATTCTGCTCCTTTTGCGTATTTATTTTATATTTTGAATCTTTAATGTTTCCTTAGAAGTTTAGTAAGCTCATTGAAAGTTTTAAACATTTTTCTCTCGTAAATTTGAATAGCAAAAATAGTTATAACAAAAGGTACAAATGCAAATGCTTTATTCTTTTTCCAGGAAACTAATATGATTATTTAGCATTTTTCCTTCAGCTAAAAATTCAATTTCAGTTAGTAACTTTGAAATCGTTCACATCATGGCAGCTCTATTTAAGTTGGCGCAAAAATGCGGTAATCAAACTTCAGCAGTGCTACTTTAATAATCATGCATACTATAAAATCAACAATATTGATGATTATGGCGTCGATAATCCGTAAATTACATTAAAATTTTTAATTTACTAGATAATCTGATTTTTTTAAGCAATCCCTTTTTTTTAGCTACTAATTTGCAATTTAATTAATGTCAAATTTCGCTCTTTTTTATTTTTTTAATCTTTTTATCACTGCTATTTAGCATAAAATGATTGACGTAATTATGAAAAATAAAATTAAGTAACCATCAACAGGTTAATTACATCAAATTTTGAATATTTCTTCTCCTTTAATTTTTTTTTGTAATTTTTCGATAAAAAAAATTCCTTTTTTAATATTTTAATCAATTATTGATAAATATAAATTTGAAATATAAAAGAAAAAAGGGAGAATATTTGAGAAACAATTTGCAGTGATCAGCGTATCACGCAGGATACTGAAAGAATGTGTAATCAATTAGCAATTAATATAATGCCTTCTATACTGATCGGACCATTTGTTATTGCTTTTTATACCTACAAAACATACATCAGGTGAATGATATATTATTATTCTAATTTTAACTTTAATAATTTTATTTGAAATTTAAGCAAAATTTGATTTGCAAAACTTTACATGAATCTATCAATTACACTGTTTGACTAGAAATAGTAATTTATTTTGCATTATATTTTAGTTTATTTGTGATAAATTTTCAAAGTTATTATAAGTTTTTTTATTCAAGAATAAAACTTTGTTAATAAATATTTAAAAATGTGATAATTTCCATTGTTCGTCGTTCATGAAACATGTTAAAATATTTTTATAAAGTTGGATAAATGCAAGTTAATTTTTTTTTAAATATTCGCAAAGTTTAAAATTTTGAAATATTTCAGTACTGGTGGTTTGGGTATTGCTATTATCTGTGGCTATTTTATTGTTGGTATTATTGTCAACAAATTTCTTATGTCACCGATGGTCAAATGGAATGCTCGAGTAGAAAAAGCTGAAGGTGACTTCAGGTATTATTTTTTAATTTCCTTTATTATTCTATCTTATTAAATGGTAATGTAACTATCGCTATGTTTTGTTATAACAACAATTGGTAAAATTAAATTTGCAAAAAAAAAAAAATTCTAAACTTTCAAAATCCATTCAAAAATATAATAAATGTTTGCAAAGTTTCAAATAAATTATTTTCTAATATGTTTGATAGATAGCTAACTGCTGAAATAAAACCCTATTGAGTAATTATTTAAGCTTCTTCATTTTTCTCTTTAAATGAAGAAGCTTAAATAATTATTCAACTGTACGCTTAAATAATTATTCATACAATTAAAAGACATTTAAACGAGCGATTAATTATTATTAAACTAATGTTCATAATTATTCAAAAATCAAACAACTAAATTAAATTTGATTGTTGATGAGATGAGAAAGAACTGGCTCCGGAACTAATAAACATACATCATTCTTCATTTAAAATTTTAAATTGAAAGCAAAATTTAATTAATTAGAAATATGAAAAAAAAAGTTTCAGTATAAATAAATATTTGCTTTTCTCACTGAATTCTCAATCGAACTATTTGTGCTGTTAAATTATTTCATTAAGAACAAAAAAAATTATTATTTCAATCAACTTGACCAATACTAATTTAATGAATTTAAGATACAAACATGTTTCCATACGGAATAATGCCGAATCAATTGCGCTATACGAAGCGGAACCATTCGAGCAATACGAATGCAATCGAATATTTATGTTACTTTGGTGGCGACAATTTAAATTCATGTGCTGGAAATTACCGAATTTATGTAAGCTCATTGAATATTAATACTAAACGATCTTTTAGCCTATAAAGAACCGGATCGGATCTGAATGAGCTGTTTGTTTCCGTATTCAATTTTCAAAATTATATGAGATTTTTTTTATGATGAAAAGTGTCATCAATTCGATTTTATGTCCTTTTTTCTTGCGACATGTAAATTATTAATATAAATTTCATACCACAATTAATTGTTTGTTGCGTAGAACATTATCCTGATTTCTTTATAGGTTATCACGATGGCGATAATAACAATAATAATTATTATTATAGTATTTGACAAATTTTTTTCTCATCTCTACTTTACTTATCATACATTTTTTATTTTTTACTTTTTATTTCTCCATAAAAAGGTTGAAAAAATGTGACCTGAAAGATTTAATGAAGGAATGAAAATTTTTTTTTTCAGTTTGGCAGCAATTTTACGACTATTATGGTGGCATTTTGAGCTATGCAATACAATTCATTCCGATATTAATTACTGGATTATATGATGATTTACCAATACAAGATTTAGGAAGGATTATAAGTAATGTTGGTATACTTTCTCACGAGTTTTTGCTTTTATTTTGATTTAAAAAAGTATTATCATAACATTACTATTATTCTTTCCAATATTATCATTTTACTATCAGTATTATCACTGATGTATTTCTGTTATTCATTACTATTGCATCTGTTGTTTGTTAATAGTTATTATTACTAATGTTATTATACTAATTATTGTTAAATTATCAATAATATTTAGTTCATCGGATGTTTTATCTTTAGCAATAGCTTCTGATGCTTTTTTGTGAGGTAACAAAAAAAAATCTGCGAAATTTAATGAAATATGAGAGTGATATTTTTAGAATGCATTTGTATACATGTACCTAATCAATAGTTTCACGCGAATAACAGACGTAGCACTTAGCACAGGTGAAATGGCTGGCATTCTTCAACGGTGGGTGATATTTGACCGTTGGTAATTACGCTTAAAACATCGTTATTCTGTCATCTCAAGAGAACTCTGATACATAATTCAAATTATGTAAATTTAATACAACTGAAATTACGATGAATTCTGAATCATTCTCGATAGCATTTATTATTTTAGGTTAAAAAAAAATGAAAAAATAGACATACGACAATTTTTTTTGAACAAGAATAAAAAATAGATATGCTTCATTAGAATGATTCATTTAATTAAGAAAAAAGAAGAAAAGCAATTAATTTTGTGAATGAAAATTTTTTTTGGCAATATTCAAATTACACAATGTTTAAAGATGGATTTGTCAAAACGACTGCATCTTTTTCTTTTCTTTCATTTGCATTTTTCCATTTAAAAAAATTTTTTTTATTTTCAGTGTAGCAGAATTGGTCTGTGTATGCAAACATATGGACAATAATGTAACTGGTAAAAATAAAATTTTTAATTTACCATTTTAAATTTTGCTAATCTTTGATGTAACAAAGCAGCTGCCTGAACTACTTCAAAACAATTACAGATAGAATTACTTAGTGGAATTTGAAATTAATAAAGCAAGCAAAGTTTTCGGAGTAGCTGTAACAATTTGAAATAAAATGCGGATTATTATGTTTTTTTTTTACTTTTGAATTAAATCAGTCAAACATATCCAATTGTTGCACAAAAAGCTCGGTTCAATAATGTGATGGTTCTTAATTATCTTTACTCTAATATGTAATCTTATTTTATCTATGATGTTTTAAATCAGTAATCGATATTGCTATTCTTCAATGTTAAGTCGCATATTAGAATAATTTAAAATATAGAAAAAAGTAATAAAATCTGATAAATTACTTTAATAATTGTCGCAATGTGTATAAGCTATGAATATGAAGCATTTTATGAAAATGAATCTCATTGTTTTGATTCACTTTTAATTATTCCGATTACAATTAAGAAATTGTCTTGTTGCAGGAAATGATGATTTTGTAGTTGATTCAGCATTTAAAAAAAATGGCACTAATAAGCTTATGATATATGATATTCATAATATCAGCTATACATTACCAAACTGTTATCCCACTCAAAAGCTACTGAAAGGTATTAATGATTAAAATTAATTTTTTCTTTTCTAACAATTCATGTCAACGATTATTGTAATTGACGGCAACGGAACAAAGTATCAATTTGAAATATCGAACTTTTGTTTTCTTCTCCGAACATTCGGAGCGCTATGATGACATATTACTGTCACACATAACAGATATGACACATTTAGTGTGTAGAAAAAATTTCATGACTAATTTTTTCTTTATCACTCCAATTTAAACTTTCTTTTGATTCTTTTTTCCCAAGATTTGAAAGAAATTTCAATTTATTTTAAATGTTCTTTTTTTAATTGCTTAAAATATTATTTTTGTCAAATGAAAATTGATTAAATTTTTATCAATTTTATAGATTTTTCGTTTGCAATTAATAAGGATGCAAAAATTTGGATAACAGGCCCCAGTGGAAGTGGGAAAACTTCACTCATACGAGTGCTATCACGATTATGGCAACATGAAACTGGTACCATCTCTCAATATTAGTGAAAATTCGAGATTATATTTCAGTCTTGGTCGCCATCTATTATTTTTAAGTCTTAAAAAACCAATTTTAAATTAGCTCACAATAGAATAAAGTAATTAAATTAATTTAATTCAACATGTAATATTGAATGATCATAAAAAATAATTTTATGGATCATTTTTAAGAAATTTATATTCGATTATGTATGTATGATATCGTGTGTAAATAAATATTCAAAAAAAAAATTTCGAATATTTTATGTAAGTTTATTTGTTTAAAGGATATATCAGATGTGGATTAAAACGTGGGCAAATTTTACGATTATCACAAACGCCTTATTTTCCTTGCGGTCATTTAAGTTTATTTCAACAAATTAGCTTTCCAGCAACAGGCATTTCGAATAGCATCGAGCGGATTGATAACGGTAATAATCAGATATCTTATCAATGCATTTCTTCTCTGAAGTAATCCAAACAACAGTTTCATTTTCAATTAACGGCTAATTACAATTAGATAATGCTAATTTTTGAAATGAAATTAAGTAGTAACAAATTTTTCATAATTAAAAGCTAATTTTTGTTAATTTCAATTGAATTTCACTAATTTAATTATATTTTCTATACGAAAAAGTGGAGAAGAGCTGTCTTTACTTTTCAGATTATGTGTCGATTACTAGCATTTTAAACGAATTAAAACTTGATTGGTTAATTGAACGCTGTGAAGGCCTTTTCAATCCAGTTGAATTTGAATGGTTAGCATTATTTGCTGCAAGCCTTTAATTATGTGAATTTATTTAAACTTTAAAATTAGTTTAAAATTAATAAAACTTCATTTAAACTTTAAAATTAGTTCAAAATTAATAAAACTTCAAATATTTCTTTTTTGTACATTCTAATTATTAATGTATGTCGAATTTTGAAATTTCATTAAAATTAGTGAATAAAATTTTAAATATTCCTTCTAGGCAAGATACATTGACACCAAGTGAGCAACAACGACTTGCATTCGCTCGAGTGTTGTTTCAACAGCCGCAACTCGTTATCTTAGATGAATCGAGCAGCTGCATCGATTTGGAAATCGAAGAACACATCTATCAACTTCTTATTTCAGTATAAATTTAATTTTGAAATGAAATTTTAATAATTGGTATATAGCAAACATTTTCCATAATACTAATAATAAATGATTACTAAATAAAAGCTAAATAAATTAATAATAAATGACAAAAAGTGTGAGATAAAACTCACAAATGAGAGCAATTATTAAAATAAATAATTCTAATAGTGATAATAATAATAACTAATAAGTATTGCTAATTAATGACAATTAGTGTGAGAACGAAATCTCATAAACAATAAGAGTTGGAGCAAATTTTTTGCCAATCATCAAGAATCTTTATTATGCAAAGTTATTTTAATATATATGCAAAATTTTCATAGATTACACTATTTACTTACTAATCATCATTATTTTTAGTTAAAAAGTCCTGTTTACAATTAATTGCAATGAATTATCAAACTAACTTTTTAATCTAATTAATTAGTTGAACATTTAAGTTGTCAGACTTAAGACATTAAATGTGTATATGAGTCGAAAAAAAAATTACTCAGAAAGATTTGATCTATCTCTCTTAATTTCAAACTTTTTACATTTATTCCTTTTTAAATTTTTCACAAATTCTAAAGTAAATTTAATTATTCTTCTTTATTGCTTAAAAAATAATTCGTATTTAGTTTTATGAATAACCTATTTCGTAAATTTTATTTTAGAATTTTAAACATGATTTTAAAAATTTATTTAGATGAATCAAATCAGAATTTGATACATTATTTGTAGAATGATATTGCCTTTATATCAATTGGTCATCACCCATCATTGATAAAGTTCCACGACACGGTAGTACATTTGGATGGTTGTGGTACTTATAAGATTCGATCACTGCGATCATTTAGTCCAACTTCCACTATCGATCCAATCAATTGCAATAATTTTTCAAATTTTATCTGATCTTTTTTACTTTTTTCTCTGTATTTCATAATATTTTTTTAGTCAATTTTCAAATATAAAATTATATAACGGAAAATTTTCGCCCTAAATATTTGATATTTGTGTTAACAATGATATTTCTACTCAGTCATTACTTAAGTTCTATTGTTCTACTCAAATTACTTTTGTAGAATAACACTTATTAATTAATTGATACAAATTTAAAGCTTTGTACGAAGTTTGCGCGTACGTCTAATATTGTTGATTTTGAAAAAAGAGCCAAAAAAGCTATGTTTGAAATAAAATTTGTAGATTCTATTGAGCAATTAATTTAAATTATTAATTTGCATTGTTGTTCCGAAAAAAAATAAAATTTTATGTGCCTTTTTAATACTGTTAATAGTTTTTGTATTCGTAGCAGCAAATTTTGTTTCATTTATTTTTTTTATCTTTTCCTCTTTTTTCTAACTGTTTCTGAATAAAGAAATTTATTAGTTTTTAATGCATTTTCCTTACAGCAGTTATTGCAATTGAATTATGCATCCTCAATCGATTTTGCAAATTTCTTGCAAAATTAAAAAATTCATCTTCTGATCAAATACTTCGACAATTACCACTAATATACGGTTAAAAAATAATTAGTTGGATTGATAGAATTTCAGATTTTTGCTGAATTGAATTCAAACTGTTAATTTAATTGAATTGAAATCTCATAGAATATTGAATTGAAATTCAAACTGTTATTTCATTATTTTTATCTGCACGTTTACATTGAAAAATATCCAAAAATTCGGAAAACAGATTTAGAATCTTAGTTTTTAATATTCATAAATTGACATGCAATAACCTTCAATGTTAAATTTTAAACTAAAAAATGAGGATAAAGACTTCATTTCAACAGTGATTTCAAATGTCTCTAAAATATTCAATTCTAGTTCAACTTTGTTAGGTCATTTCACAAATAAGTTTAGGATTAAAATGTTGTAAAAAATTATTATGCTTTGAAAAATCATTAAGATGGTGCAACTGATGCACATGATTAAATTTAATCATTTAAATATTGCTGCGGATTAGCTTTCAATCACTCCAAGTTTGAAAGTTGTTCTTAGTGTTTGTAAGACTGATTATTTGTTGTAGTGCCACTCCTAATGATTAGCAATTTGGAGTCTGATAAGATCAGATAAATATCTCAGTTATAATCTTTAAACTGATAGTAAGACATATCAGTAATGAAAGCACGCGGGTTTTATTTCATATTCAAAAAATGGAATACAAAATATAAATGGAAGACAAAATTTATCCAAAAAATGAAAGACTTCATTTGAAAAAGTTAGAATATCACTTATGGATAATTCTCGCTTTAATTTTGCAATTTTTATGGATTAATCATCAAAAAAAAGACAATTTAACATAATAGTTGAAATTTTCCTAATATCAAAATTAAACATATACGATCGTTTTTTCTTTTTATCCCATCTTTTTTTTTTCCATAACAGCGAATAATTTGATCATTTAGCTTTCTTTTTTGTTAGTTATTTCAAAAAAAAAGAGATGGCGCATTTTGAGCGGAAATTAATAGAAAAAAAACGAAAAAGGAAAGAATTATCCGGAAGTGATACCATCGGCTCATATTACCTTCTATGCTAATTAAATCCGTCTGATTAATTAATCTAAAATTCAAATTTTTTCTTCTCCCACATAATTAAATTTTTCCAATTCATTCTAATTCACAACTATTCAATTAAATTGGAAACAAAAAAGGCAATTCATCCTTGCACTGAATGAAAATTAGGTAACTGAGCTTGAGCAAAATTCCAGATTGATAATGAAAGCACTATGGCTGAAATGTATCATTCGTTTTAAATTTCGATCATTTTTTAGAATCCAAATGCTTAAATTTTAGATGGAAAATCTTACTAGAATTCAAAAAAATCGAATGATATTCAATTTTAAAAAGAAGAATAGGACGTGAAATAAATGAAAGCACTTAGTAGATCTATAAAATTCAATTATTCAAAAAATTCATTCAAACCATTGACCATTCAAAGTTGAAAGACATATGGGAATGACTTTTTTTCTTATTCACAGCAAAGCTTTCAAAATTTTATAATCATCCATTTGGTATTTTTTTGTCGTAGCTGTCTGCGGTGCAGTCCGGAAGGAATAATACGATCAAAATTCATTGACGGTTTCTGAAATTACTTTCTGAAAAAGTGAATTAAATTTTGTTTACATAAATTAATCTTTCCTAATTTAAAATAATACAATGAATAAATCAATATTAAATAATCAAATGAATCGATTATATGAACCAACAAATAAATAAATGAGGCTATATTATCAAATGATCAATTTTCAAATTTGAAAATATGCAAAAAGAAATACTTCGGCAAAATTAGAAAAAAAAAGTTTTCATTACAATTTTACAGCAAATGCGGAATGTTTCATTTTGATGAAATCACTGACTGAAAAAGAAAACGAATCAGAATGATCAAACTGAAAAAAGAAAATAAAAGCAAAATAAAAAAAAATATTAGCAATTGATATATGTGCCAAATTCGTCGCATCTTAAGTAAAACTTTTTGAACTTTGATAATGTTAAAATGAATCTTACAGCAAAAAAAATTCAAGAGCTACTTATTTTTTTAAAATTTATCAGTCCTCTTATTTATTTCAACTCCATTTATTATTTAAAGTCTTTCTTCTCAATCAATTAATTTTTTATAAAATTTACTCAATCATTTATATTCAAAGTAGCCGATGAAATCGATTAAATTTCAAACTGTTTCGTTCTCGACTTCTGCCTTTCAATTTTATACAAATCATCAATTTCATTCCACATTTTAGCAAAATCATTTTTACTTATAATTCTATCGATGTATTAAAAATAAAAAAAATTGAGCAAAATTGGGAAAAATGTTTTGATGAATTCATTCACGAATTATTGCACATATTTTTGGGTATACAATGCTAATTTCGGCAATTATAGAATTTTAATCGTTATAATTTCAACATAAATTTAAGTTTATATTTAATTCCAATGTAAATTAAAATTTCGCTTTCTTTTCACATAT